AATTATTTGTTTCATATTGGATCAGTTATTGGTTTCATATTGGCTCAGTTATTGGTTCCGTATTGACTCAGTTATTGGCTCCATATTGACTCAGTTATTGGTTCCATATTGGCTCAGTTATTGGTTTCATATTGCCTCAGTTATTGGTTCCGTATTGGTTCAGTTATTGGTTTCATATTGGATCAGTTATTGGTTCCATATTGGCTCAGTTATTGGTTTCATATTGCCTCAGTTATTGGTTCCGTATTGGTTCAGTTATTGGTTTCATATTGGCTCAGTTATTGGTTCCGTATTGGTTCAGTTATTGGTTCCATATTGACTCAGTTATTGGCTCCATATTGACTCAGTTATTGGTTCCATATTGACTCAGTTATTGCTTCCGTATTAGCTCAGTTATTGGATCCATATTGGCTCAGTTATTGGTTCCGTATTGGTTCAGTTATTGGTTCCATATTGACTCAGTTATTGGCTCCATATTGACTCAGTTTATTGGTTCCATATTGACTCAGTTATTGGTTTCATATTGGCTCAATTATTTGTTTCATATTGGATCAGTTATTGGTTACGTATTGGTTCAGTTATTGGTTCCGTATTGACTCAGTTATTGGCTCCATATTGACTCAGTTATTGGTTCCATATTGGCTCAGTTATTGGTTACATATTGGCTCAGTTATTGGTTCCATATTGGTTCAGTTATTGGTTCCATATTGACTCAGTTATTGGTTCCATATTGACTCAGTTATTGGTTCCATATTGGCTCAGTTATTGGTTCCATATTGACTCAGTTATTGGTTCCATATTGACTCAGTTATTGGTTCCATATTGGCTCAGTTATTGGTTCCATATTGACTCAGTTATTGGTTCCATATTGGATCAGTTATTGGTTCCATATTGGCTCAGTTATTGGTTCCATATTGACTCAGTTATTGGTTCCATATTGACTCAGTTATTGGTTCCATATTGGCTCAGTTATTGGTTCCATATTGACTCAGTTATTGGTTCCATATTGGATCAGTTATTGGTTCCATATTGGCTCAGTCATTGGTTCCATATTGGCTCAGTTATTGGTTCCATATTGACTCTGTTATTGGTTCCATATTGGTTCAGTTATTGGTTCCATATTGACTCAGTTATTGGTTCCATATTGACTCAGTTATTGGTTCCATATTGACTCAGTTATTGGTTCCATATTGGCTCAGTTATTGGTTCCATATTGACTCAGTTATTGGTTCCATATTGACTCAGTTATTGGTTCCATATTGACTCCGTTATTGGTTCCATATTGACTCAGTTATTGGTTCCATATTGGCTCAGTTATTGGTTCCATATTGGCTCAGTTATTGGTTCCATATTGGCTCAGTTATTGGTTCCGTATTGGCTCAGTTATTGGTTCCGTATTGGCTCAGTTATTGGTTCCATATTGGCTCAGTTATTGGTTCCATATCGGCTCAGTTATTGGTTCCATATTGACTCAGTTATTGGTTCCATATTGGCTCAGTTATTGGTTCCATATTGGCTCAGTTATTGGTTCCATATTGACTCAGTTATTGGTTCCATATTGGCTCAGTTATTGGTTCCATATCGGCTCAGTTATTGGTTCCATATTGGCTCAGTTATTGGTTCCATATTGACTCAGTTATTGGTTCCATATTGGCTCAGTTATTGGTTCCATATTGGCTCAGTTATTGGTTCTATATTGGTCCTGATCACCTGGGAATGATTTACTGAACTCTGCAGAATGTGAAGGTCACAAACTGAAGCTGAGGAGAAAACAGAATCAGGTTCAAAGGTCAGAATAGAATCAAATGTTTAGTTTCAGCTTTTAGTTCAGAATATTTTTGCTGATCATTTTAACGTTTCTGCTGCTTCAGTGATTTGAACTAAACTCAGTTTAAACCTCAGAAAACATTTAGTTTAATATTTAAATGAAATCAGTAACTGGACTGATGACCTTTGACCTCTGCGGCGTGATCATTAACCCTGATTGGCTCCAACACTCAGACTAAACGTCTCATTTTATCCTGGAAGTTTCATTTGTTGTAACAGTGAGATTATTCATTATAATCTGGAATAAAATCTGATCCATGGTCAGTTTAGAGACAAAATCATTATTTAATGTTGCATTTATTTATTGGTTTGCACCTTTAATATTCTGTAATATTAATGTGAATAAATGCTGTTTAGTTCTTCCTCTGATCTTCAGTTTCTTATTTTTCTGTAATATTTCTAAACATCCTGATGGAAAATCTTCATGTGTTCATTAATTCATCTGAGGATTAATTAAAGAAGGTTTTTTCAACCTTTCTGAGGTTCATTGTTTCCATTGAAAGCATCACATCACCGACCAAAAATAAAAACAAATAATAATATATAGCTGCAGATATCAAATATATAGCAGTCATTGTCAAAGTGTCTTGAATAGAAATCAAATAAATACAAAGATTAATTTTTTTAATCATATTTTATATTTCTTATTTCAAATTGCAGTCAACATTTCCAGTTCCACAGCAACCTGTGGAACTGGCTCAACAATGTGACCTTCAATCTAAACAGGTTGTAGAAAAACTTGAGTGTTTTACAAACTAATTCTGTGCACAAGCATTCTGTTAGCCGGAATATAGAAAATAATTCTGATTCTGAGAGAAGCAATAATATCTGGGAAAGATTTCATTGTTACCATATGAAGAGTTTGCATGCACAAAATATCAATATCTGTATATTTTACTGCCTTAGTGTGAAACTGCATGTTTGATGAACACAGAGCTGAGATCCCGGCAGGAGTTGAAGAACGACGCACATGAAGCTCTTCTTCTTCATCTCTCAGTCTGTTTCTGCTTTTAGTTTTTATAATATCCAGGCTTGAGAAGCTCACTTCACACAGATATGTTTGTGGAAAATGGGAGCAATATCAAATAGTTTGTTTTGCCAGAACAGGGAACTCCTTGGCAGCAGTCAACCAAAAAGGTAGATCAGCAAAGCTCAGCTTTAAACCACGATTTTGTGTAATCGGGCCCTTCATTGGTCAGATTCACTCTGAGTTCCTCCTGCAGCTCATACATACGGGCCAGAACCTCACCACAAGACAACCATTGGACCTCCGCCTGAAACAGCAACATCTTATGCTGCGCTCCCATTTCCTCACACAAAGATGCAAATATGCGGCTTTTCACAGGTCGTGCTTTCACAAAGTTGTCCATCTGCACATCATTCAACACAGCGGCCAGGTCTGCTGTAACATCTTGGCCTTTAGGGCCTCCATGGCCTTTAGGGCCTTTGGGGCCATTAGGGCCTTTAGGGCCTTTTGGGCCTTTGGGGACTTTAGGGCCTTCAGGGCCTTTGGGGCCTTTTGGGCCTTTAGGGCCTTTGGGGCCTTTTGGGCCTTTAGAGCCTTCAGGGCCTTTTGGGCCTTTGGGGACTTTAGGGCCTTCAGGGCCTTTTGGGCCTTTAGAGCCTTCAGGGCCTTTAAGGCCTTTGGGGTTTTTAGGGCCTTCAGGGCTTTTAGGGCCTTTGGAGCTTTTAGGGCCTTTGGGGTATTTAGGGCCTTTAGGGCTTTTAGGGGTTTTAGGCCCTTTAGCTTTTAGGGCCTTTGGGGCTTTTAGGGCCTTTGGGGCCTTTAGAGCTTTAGGGCCTTTAGAGCCTTTAGGGCCTTCAGGGCCTTTAAGGCCTTTGGGCTTTTAGGGCTTTTAGGGCCTTTAGGGCATTTAGGCCTTTGGAGCTTTTAGGGCCTTTAGGGCTTTTAGGGCCTTTGGGCCTTTAGAGCTTTTAGGGCCTTTAGAGCCTTAGGGCCTTCAGGGCCTTTAAGGCCTTTGGGGCTTTTAGGGCTTTTAGGGCCTTTAGGGCATTTAGGCCTTTAGGGCTTTTAGGGCCTTTGGAGCTTTTAGGGCCTTTAGGGCCTTTGGGGCTTTTAGGTCTTTTAGGGGTTTTGGGGCCTTTGGGGCTTTTAGGGCCTTTGAGGGCCTTTAGGGCTTTTAGGGTTTTCAGGGCCTTTGGGGCTTTAGGGCCTTTAGGGCATTTAGGGCTTTTAGGGTTTTCAGGGCCTTTGGGGCTTTTAGGGCCTTTAGGGCATTTAGGGCCTTTAGGGCTTTTAGGGCCTTTGGAGCTTTTAGGGCCTTTAGGGCATTTAGGGCTTTTAGGGGTTTTAGGGCCTTTGGGGCTTTTAGGTGTTTTGGGGCCTTTGGCGCTTTTATGGCCTTTGAGGGCCTTTAGGGCTTTTAGGGTTTTCAGGGCCTTTGGAGCTTTTAGGGCCTTTAGGGCATTTAGGGCCTTTAGGGCTTTTAGGCCTTTAGGGCTTTTAGGGGCTTTGGAGCTTTTAGGACCTGGCAGACCTGTGGCTGCCAGGTCTGCAGCCACAGACGGTCATTTAGTTCATGATTCATGAAAAAATCAAAAGCACTCTTCTCTTTTAAAACTGGTCGATTTCTGATCTCAGCGAATAAAAGCGCTGCAGCAGCACACATCAGAGTGGAAGATCATCCCCGTATTCAGCGACAGATTGGAGAGCCTGAAGATCTTTGTGGGTCATTCTTCTGGCTTGAATTATGTCGACAGTTTTAATAAGAGTTCATCACATCGCTCAGCTGGACAGTCTTGGCACACAGCGCTTCTTGGTGGATTATATAGTTCATCCTAACAGCCTCATCTCTGCTCTCTTTTACCTTTGCGCACATCAACGATGCCATTCCGACGTCATGGCCGGAGCTCCATCTGGTGTTACTCTACAGAGCTTGTCCCAATTAAGCTCCATCTTTTCAACTGACACAGATTCAACAATATCTTTTCCCGTCGTTGAGTCTTTTAGGCTCATAGTATCAAGCAGCTCCTCTGTACAGCAAAAACTATCAATGACCCACGATATGAATCCATCCTGGTATAACGGATGGGTAACATTAGGACAGAATGGTTGGTTCTGATGGTTCGGTTTCGTTCAGAGCCGTACCTCTTATCACTGTTATTCACGTCAGTTTACGTCAGTTTGCGTCAGTCCCAGCAGCATCAGCAGCTCCATGAACCACGTGACTTCCGCATTTCGTCCATGAACCGTTACGTCTAACATACAGACTGTAGAAATGGTTCGTTTCATGATCGTGTGGTTCTGCTGGACTCTCAGTATCGGTTCTGTCTCTGCTGAAGGTGAGTTTTTAATCCGCCTTCATCTTAACGCAAGATTCTCACAATCTGTTGATCCAGAGACAAAAGACCATCAGGAAACTCGGATGATGCGATGATGACGTTGCTAGCAGCTGAACACAAAGCGAGACATTATAGTCCGGTTATATTAGAGTCATAATAAGAACAAAATCATGATAAAACCTCAATGTTTGTAAAACCAGCTAACATTGAGACCAAGCTGCTGGTGACGTCACGCCCTAATCTGAACTCTGACTTCCGGTTGAAAGGAAAACGATTCTTGTCTAAATCTAGTTCATGCAGCTAAAGCCTGAAAGTGAAGAAGATCTGGACCGATTAACAGCTCAGACAGTCAGGCATCATTCACATCTAGATCCTAGATCTACACCCATATCTAGATCTGGATCTAGTTGTGAATCCAGATCTACATCTAGAACATCTCGTCTCCATGCCAGCTGGGATCAACAGCAGCCTGACATCCAGTAAGATGTTCTGGTTCTGACCCGGTACTCAGATTGACTTGCTCTGATTGGTTCCTCCCTCATCTTTCCTCTCTCAGCCATCATGTTCAGTAAATCAATCTTTAGTTTTGCTGTTCATTGCTTCCCTTTATTTCTTATGGTACAAACTAACTGAACAAATTGTTGAAGCTCCAGTTTTACAGTTTTATCTTTGAGATGTTAATTAGTTTAACTTATTAGAGAAGCTAGTGTTACGTTTCTTTATGAACCTTTTCTCTACAATAAAGGTTTTTTCTCTGCTTTGGGTAAATTGTTTGCTTTCAGGTTCATCTGATGAATCCAGTGGAAACTGTTGATTCATTTGTTCCTCTTTAGATTCATGAGCTGAAAAACATTCGAGTTTAGATCAAATGGTTTGTGTTGGGATCACAGCACAGTGTTGGTGGGGTTGCTAGTTTCTGGTTGCCTTTACCACTCTACTGGTTTCAGTGTGTAAATAAACTCATATTTACTTCATAAATCTTTTGTTATGTTTGTCACAGCTGGGTTGATGACATCATCAGGTCCAACCTGTACTGGAGTCTACAGAGTAACAGGAAGGCTAACTTTACCCCACTGTTTGTGGATCATGTTGGTTTGACTGGTGTCATTTTAGATATTGCCACACTGTGGCGCTATTGGCTGTAAATTAAAACTAACAATGAGGTGAATCTGGATCATGGAAAGAAGAAGAGTGGAGTAGGAGAGAGCTGAACTTTCACAGGATCTATATTTGTGCTTTCAACATTTCTCTACAAAAGACTTTGTTACTTGTACGAGCAAAACTTGTTCAGTTTCTAACAGATGTTTGTTACCTAAACAAGCTAAAAATAAATCCTGTTTTTATCCACAAAGCATTTAAACCCAACATCTGTAGCTTCCTGGTTCTGGATCTCAGAACATGAAGCTTCAGGGTCTGAAAAGTGGATCAACGTGTCGTCAGTCACTAAGTTGATCTCAGTCACTGTTAACCACTGAAGTGACTTGGTGAAGCATTTTAACCTGCCATGGAAGTACACAATCCTCTTTGACCTTTGACCTCTCTGTTGTTCCAGACGTCACACGTTATTCTGGAGAGAACGTCACTCTGAACTGTAAAACAACAACAACTACTGGGAACAAACCTGTAGCTGTGGAGTGGAACAGAACCGATCTGGGGGAGGAATTTGTTCTTCTGTTCAGAGACGATCAGATTGATCCATCTATCCAGCACCGATCTTACAAGAACCGAGTGGATCTGGCAGACAGACAGATGAAGGATGGAAACGTGTCTCTGGTTCTGATGAACGTGACGACCAGCGATAATGGAACATATGAATGTCGAGTTCAAAATCAAGGAAGCCTGGATCCTGAACTGATCAGAACCATCAACCTGCATGTTTCCCTTCATCCTCCTCCAGGTGAGTCTCTTTAACTCTGGATCAGAACCAGCAACTTCCTGGTTCTGGATCTCAGAAACACCTGGGATCATTTGTTTCACTGATTCTAGTTCCGTCTTTGTCTGCAGGAGACAAGAACTCAGGAAACCAGGATGGATCCATCGGACTGATAGTTGGTCAACATCACAGCTGATCAACTTCCTGATCTGATCAATCATGATGTCACTCATATACAGGCCTGACATCCACTGATGTGAAATGGACCATAATCCATGTCTCTGGATTATAATCTGCAGAACTTCCATCAGTAAAATCTTTCTCAGATGCGTCCAGGTTGGTGATTTAAATGATGCGTCAGTCCCAGCAGCATCAGCTGATTTTGGGCCGTTTGTTATTGATCCATTTCACATCAGTGGATCCATCCTCACCTTTAATCTGAGGAGCAGAAAAGTGTTTCCTGGTCATTTGGTGATAATCTGAGGAAAATCCTGAATGTCTGCAGACATGAAGCTTCATCAGGATCCATGTTGCAGCAAGAGAAAGAAAAATGTTGGAAACATGAAGAATAATCTGATCATTATGAATATTTTATTGAGATTTTCTGTTTGTATTTAATCTGAACTCAATGTGTTTATAAGGTTTACATGTTTGTGCTTTTTTATAAAGTGTTTATTTTGTTATGTTTTCCAGTATTATGATGAATAAAAGCCTGAAACATTGAAGTGATTCAACTTCTTTGAACTTCAACATTAATAACTCAGAGCTTCAACATTAATAACTCAGAGCTTCAGATATTAATAACTCAGAGCTTATTAATAACTCAGAGCTTCAGGTATTAATAACTCAGAGCTTCAACATTAATAACTCAGAGCTTCAGGTATTAATAACTCAGAGTTTCAGGTATTAATAACTCAGAGCTTCAGGTATTAATAACTCAGAGCTTCAGGTATTAATAACTCAGAGCTTATTAATAACTCAGAGTTTCAGGTATTAATAACTCAGAACTTCAAGTATTAATAACTCAGAGCTTCAGGTATTAATAACTCAGAGCTTCAGGTATTAATAACTCAGAGTTTCAGGTATTAATAACTCAGAGCTTCAGGTATTAATAACTCAGAGCTTCAGGTATTAATAACTCAGAACTTCAGGTATTAATAACTCAGAGCTTCAGGTATTAATAACTCAGAACTTCAGGTATTAATAACTCAGAGCTTCAGGTATTAATAACTCAGAGTTTCAGGTATTAATAACTCAGAGTTTCAGGTATTAATAACTCAGAGTTTCAGGTATTAATAACTCAGAACTTCAGGTGTTAATAACTCAGAGCTTCAGGTATTAATAACTCAGAGTTTCAGGTATTAATAACTCAGAGCTTCAGGTGTTAATAACTCAGAGCTTCAGATATTAATAACTCAGAGCTTCAGGTATTAATAACTCAGAGTTTCAGGTGTTAATAACTCAGAGCTTCAGATATTAATAACTCAGAGCTTCAGGTATAAATAACTCAGAACTTCAGGTATTAATAACTCAGAGCTTCAGGTATTAATAACTCAGAGCTTCAGGTATTAATAACTCAGAACTTCAGGTGTTAATAACTCAGAGCTTCAGGTATTAATAACTCAAAGCTTCAGGTATTAATAACTAAGAGCTTCAGGTATTAATAACTCAAAGCTTCAGGTATTAATAACTAAGAGCTTCAGGTATTAATAACTCAGAGCTTCAGGTATTAATAACTAAGAGCTTCAGGTATTAATAACTCAGAGCTTCAGGTATTAATAACTAAGAGCTTCAGGTATTAATAACTCAGAGCTTCAGATATTAATAACTAAGAGCTTCAGGTATTAATAACTCAGAGCTTCAGGTATTAATAACTCAGAGCTTCAGGTATTAATAACTCAGAGCTTCAGATATTAATAACTCAGAACTTCAGGTGTTAATAACTCAGAGCTTCAGGTATTAATAACTCAAAGCTTCAGGTATTAATAACTCAGAGTTTCAGGTATTAATAACTCAAAGCTTCAGGTATTAATAACTAAGAGCTTCAGGTATTAATAACTCAAAGCTTCAGGTATTAATAACTAAGAGCTTCAGGTATTAATAACTCAGAGCTTCAGGTATTAATAACTAAGAGCTTCAGGTATTAATAACTCAGAGCTTCAGGTATTAATAACTAAGAGCTTCAGGTATTAATAACTCAGAGCTTCAGGTATTAATAACTCAAAGCTTCAGGTATTAATAACTAAGAGCTTCAGGTATTAATAACTCAGAGCTTCAGGTATTAATAACTAAGAGCTTCAGGTATTAATAACTCAGAACTTCAGGTATTAATAACTAAGAGCTTCAGGTATTAATAACTCAGAGCTTCAGGTATTAATAACTCAAAGCTTCAGGTATTAATAACTAAGAGCTTCAGGTATTAATAACTCAGAGCTTCAGGTATTAATAACTCAAAGCTTCAGGTATTAATAACTCAGAGTTTCAGGTATTAATAACTCAGAGCTTCAGGTATTAATAACTCAGAGCTTCAGGTATTAATAACTCAGAGCTTCAGGTATTAATAACTCAGAGCTTCAGGTATTAATAACTCAGAGTTTCAGGTATTAATAACTCAGAGCTTATTAATAACTCAGAGCTTCAGGTGTTAATAACTCAGAGTCTCAGGTATTAATAACTCAGAGCTTCAGATATTAATAACTCAGAGCTTATTAATAACTCAGAGCTTCAGATATTAATAACTCAGAGTTTCAGGTATTAATAACTCAGAGCTTCAGGTATTAATAACTCAGAGCTTCAGGTGTTAATAACTCAGAGCTTCAGGTATTAATAACTAAGAGCTTCAGGTAGTAATAACTCAGAGTTTCAGGTATTAATAACTCAGAGCTTATTAATAACTCAGATCTTCAGGTGTTAATAACTCAGAGTTTCAGGTATTAATAACTCAGAGTTTCAGGTATTAATAACTCAGAGCTTCAGGTATTAATAACTCAGAGCTTCAGGTATTAATAACTCAGAGTTTCAGGTATTAATAACTCAGAGCTTCAGGTATTAATAACTCAGAGTTTCAGGTATTAATAACTCAGAGCTTTTTAATAACTCAGATGTTAATAGGTGTTAATAACTCAGAGCTTCAGGTATTAATAACTCAGAGTTTCAGATATTAATAACTCAGAGTTTCAGATATTAATAACTCAGAGCTTATTAATAACTCAGAGCTTCAGATATTAATAACTCAGAGCTTCAGATATTAATAACTCAGAGTTTCAGGTATTAATAACTCAGAGCTTCAGGTATTAATAACTCAGAGTTTCAGGTATTAATAACTCAGAGCTTCAGGTGTTAATAACTCAGAGCTTCAGGTGTTAATAACTCAGAGCTTCAGGTATTAATAACTCAAAGCTTCAGGTATTAATAACTCAGAGTTTCAGGTATTAATAACTCAGAGTTTTCAGATATTAATAACTCAGAGTTTCAGGTATTAATAACTCAGAGCTTCAGGTATTAATAACTCAGAGCTTCAGGTATTAATAACTCAGAGCTTCAGATATTAATAACTCAGAGCTTCAGGTATTAATAACTCAGAGTTTCAGGTGTTAATAACTCAGAGCTTCAGGTATTAATAACTCAGAGCTTCAGGTATTAATAACTCAGAGCTTCAGGTATTAATAACTCAGAGCTTCAGATATTAATAACTCAGAGCTTCAGGTATTAATAACTCAGAGTTTCAGGTGTTAATAACTCAGAGCTTCAGGTATTAATAACTCAGAGCTTCAGGTATTAATAACTCAGAACTTCAGGTATTAATAACTCAGAGCTTCAGGTATTAATAACTCAGAGCTTCAGGTATTAATAACTCAGAACTTCAGGTGTTAATAACTCAGAGCTTCAGGTATTAATAACTCAGAGCTTCAGGTATTAATAACTCAAAGCTTCAGGTATTAATAACTAAGAGCTTCAGGTATTAATAACTCAAAGCTTCAGGTATTAATAACTAAGAGCTTCAGGTATTAATAACTCAGAGTTTCAGGTATTAATAACTAAGAGCTTCAGGTATTAATAACTCAGAGCTTCAGGTATTAATAACTAAGAGCTTCAGGTGTTAATAACTCAGAGCTTCAGGTATTAATAACTCAGAGCTTCAGGTATTAATAACTCAGAACTTCAAGTATTAATAACTCAGAGCTTCAGGTGTTAATAACTCAGAGCTTCAGGTATTAATAACTCAGAGCTTCAGGTATTAATAACTCAAAGCTTCAGGTATTAATAACTAAGAGCTTCAGGTATTAATAACTCAGAGTTTCAGGTGTTAATAACTCAGAGCTTCAGGTATTAATAACTAAGAGCTTCAGGTGTTAATAACTCAGAGCTTCAGGTATTAATAACTAAGAGCTTCAGGTATTAATAACTCAGAGCTTCAGGTATTAATAACTCAGAACTTCAGGTGTTAATAACTCAGAGCTTCAGGTGTTAATAACTCAGAGCTTCAGGTATTAATAACTCAGAGTTTCAGATATTAATAACTCAGAGTTTCAGATATTAATAACTCAGAGTTTCAGGTATTAATAACTCAGAGCTTCAGGTATTAATAACTCAGAGCTTCAGGTATTAATAACTCAGAGCTTCAGATATTAATAACTCAGAGTTTCAGGTATTAATAACTCAGAGTTTCAGATATTAATAACTCAGAGTTTCAGGTATTAATAACTCAGAGCTTCAGGTATTAATAACTCAGAGTTTCAGGTGTTAATAACTCAGAGCTTCAGGTATTAATAACTCAGAGCTTCAGGTATTAATAACTCAGAGCTTCAGATATTAATAACTCAGAGCTTCAGGTATTAATAACTCAGAGTTTCAGGTGTTAATAACTCAGAGCTTCAGGTATTAATAACTCAGAGCTTCAGGTATTAATAACTCAGAACTTCAGGTATTAATAACTCAGAGCTTCAGGTATTAATAACTCAGAGCTTCAGGTATTAATAACTCAGAACTTCAGGTGTTAATAACTCAGAGCTTCAGGTATTAATAACTCAGAGCTTCAGGTATTAATAACTCAAAGCTTCAGGTATTAATAACTAAGAGCTTCAGGTATTAATAACTCAAAGCTTCAGGTATTAATAACTAAGAGCTTCAGATATTAATAACTCAGAGCTTCAGGTATTAATAACTCAGAGCTTCAGGTATTAATAACTAAGAGCTTCAGGTATTAATAACTCAGAGCTTCAGGTATTAATAACTAAGAGCTTCAGGTGTTAATAACTCAGAGCTTCAGGTATTAATAACTCAGAGCTTCAGGTATTAATAACTCAGAGTTTCAGGTATTAATAACTCAGAGCTTCAGGTGTTAATAACTCAGAGCTTCAGGTATTAATAACTCAGAGCTTCAGATATTAATAACTCAGAGCTTCAGGTATTAATAACTCAGAGTTTCAGGTGTTAATAACTCAGAGCTTCAGGTATTAATAACTCAGAGCTTCAGGTATTAATAACTCAGAACTTCAGGTATTAATAACTCAGAGCTTCAGGTATTAATAACTCAGAGCTTCAGGTATTAATAACTCAGAACTTCAGGTGTT